ATTCTCCTTAAATAAAACAACTAGAAAAGAGAATATGATTGAAGAAAATATTGAAAGTGAAACATAATTCTTACAATAATCTCTATCGGTAATAGATGCAATGTCATTTCTTATCGTAAAATAACAATCGTTATATATAATAATGATGAACACATTGTCCTGAAGCGATCGTCATCAATGAGATAAGACAGCTGTTCAGGAACATTTCATTTTAGAGATATGACTCTTGCTTAACTTTCTCGAAGTGATTGAGCACAGATATTTATGCTGGTAAAACTAATGAAAATTTCTATTTTTTTAAAATCTATTTCACTGTTTTTTCTATTCGATATTTTTCATTTCATGCTGAAAAAAACCTACCTCGAAATAAAAGATCATTTCATAATCAATAACTTTGAAGAAAATGATGGACTTATAACTTCTAAAAACATATCAACAAAAGTTTGTTCTAATAAATAAACGAAAAGGTCAACAATAAAAAAAACAAAAATAAAAGACATACTGAATATAAATAACAACTAGACTGCCACTCGAGTAGAAAAATCGACTGACTGCACGAATTATACTTGTCGACATTTTTTGTTTTTCAGTCGCTTAACTGACATGATTAGATTTTCTCGAATGTTCGAGACTCCTTCAAGGATGAATTTAAGGTATACAAGACGATAATCAAAGTATATATGCATATAGCTTCTAAGATATCAATGGTTGCTTCAAAATGAAACCATTCATCATCATATTAGGAAACTATCATCTGTTAATTATCGTTTGCCGCATATTTATATCTTCCGAATGCCCCCGAGTTTTGAAAAACAGATTTCAGATGTGCACTTATCACATTCTCATGATCTTAATAACTTTTTTTGTCCGGTTCGGAATGATGCTCAAGTACTGAAAACCAGTTACTGACTTGAATCGTGACTCATGCATCGAGTGAAAGAAGAAGGAGAATTTGTCATAACAACTAAGCGACTGAAAAGCAATAGCCGACTTAATTAGTTAGAAGAGAAAGATCTTCTATTTAAACTATCAGAATAACATATTATACATAGAATTAAAATTATCTTCTTATAGGCTAGATTGATCACATAGAAAAAAAAAAGAAACAACGCAAATAATCAGAACATACAAAATGATTACTTTTTTTTGTTGATTCAAATATATATGATAATTACTTATGAATTATAAGAATTAGACTATTTATGAGCTAATTGCAACTTTTTGGTACCATTGACGTTCTAGCTCTATTTGGCTTATAACTTCTGTTTCTCTGGACCGATGCGGACAATTTTTTTTTATATGTTATTCCCATTTGTATGCCCCACTGCCACTCAAAACTTCAGCTCTATAGCTTATACCATCGCTGAATTATGAGATATATATATATAGCAAAAAAACGTTAGTTTTTGCTGACATGTGAAAAGAAAAAAGGAATTTTTCGGCTATAGAAAAAACAAGAGGAAAGTATATAATTAGACTGTTTTGTACAGTGTTCGATGCTCTTTCAAAATATATCATCAGTTTCAATTTTATATTTTGCTCTCTCCTTCGTTTAACATTCACATCGTTTGACAGACACTATATTTTTGTATAGAGTGACGAAAACTTGATTATGACTCTGCTAGTGATAAAGCTGGTGGTGCGCAGACTATATGGAAAGAAAGATAACTCTTTAAGTAACAAACTGATGAGAAAAAAATGTGTCATCAGCTTTGTTTCTGGATAAAAATAACAAGACTTTCTGGAAAAAGTTCGTTATACTTACTTTGTAGAGTGATGATTTGAAATTTGCTTGCTTTAGAACTCTTCAATAGGTCGCTCGATTTGGCTCAAATTTTTACAGTAGATGTAAAACAAAAAGTTCTATAAGTGATAAAAATTTTAACCCTTAATTTGCTTCCGTTCAGGAGAAATTTACATTATACCACAGAATGTAGAGTGACGATTTTTCTGCAGATATTTTCAGTCTAACTCATCCAAAAATATTCTTTTCGAGTATAATTTAAATAAATAGAATACAGCAAGCAAATTCAAGCGTGTTGTAGTCTTTTTCTGACTTTCCAGCCTTCATACAGAGCTGAAAAATGACTTGAACGTTTCAACGAGTAAAATCAATTTTATTATTGAATTCAGCAGAAATTAAACTGTACAACATATTTTTTCTCTTAATAATCAGTGAAGTATTGGGAAACTTTTGCCCCTTAACACAAGCATAGAGTATAATAAGATGCACTACTCAAAATTTGTTTAGGTTCACTTCTATTTTTTCGCGTCGATTGTACCAAAAAGTTGCAATTCATTCATATATTATTAAAATTTAGGTATGAACTTTTTGTATTTTTACACATCCAAATCAAATAATCAGACGAAAGTCGTAGTCTTAGGAATCTTACATTAAATCGTACTTGTAAGATTTTTTAAAAGATCTTAATGTTACATACGATTTCCTATAATCTTCTAGTGATATCTTACAAGACAGCAAGATCTTTCAAGAATTTTATAATACAACTTAACGTAAGATTTCTGAGCCTAGAATTTTTTTGTATAATTTTTTTTCTGATCTTACAAGATCAAAAGTATCATCTTGTAAGATCTTACCATCTGATTGTTTAACTTAGGAAGCTATAAGTCAGTAAAAATAATATCTAAACATTTATCTGACATTTCGATATCAAAATTTTTAATAAGAATGCTAAGTATAATATTATCAAGTATATTTTTAAATTACCGGAGAAATTAGATTTTAAGTAATATCTTTATATAGATAAGCACCAAGAATAATCTTTCAAGGAAACTTCTCCAGGCATCAAATCGCTTTTTGGCCCAGACGGCATTCATTTGATCAGTGCTTGTGAGTAATATAGAAGTCTAGAATAGGTTGGATTTTCAGGACCTTCATTCTTCAGATATCAAAGTTTCATTGAGTTTTTCAACAATAGGCTGTAATTCCCCTTAGATCACATGAAAAATTGACTTTTGACTTCAAAATTTGCATAAACAAAGTTCTCAACAAGATTAGTTCGTTGGACAAGTTGTAACCATTCTAGTATCTCCTATCTTGAGATAAGAAATATTCGAAATTCTTTCATATATACAAGCAAATTTTCTTCATATATTTACATCTTCAGAAAGGAAATACTAGTTGCACAATCAAATAATTCCATTAAGAACTTTGTTCGTGCAAAGTTTAAAATTGAAATTCGGAAGTCGATTCTCCACATGACTTAAAGGGAGGATCACAGCCTTTCGTTGAAAATCCAATAAAACTTCAGTATGTCAAGAACGAAAGTCTGGAAAACCAAACTATTCTAGAGTTTTCTATTACTCACTAGAACTCATCAAATAAACATCATCTCGATCAAAAATTGATTTGACACTTAAAGAAGTTCCCTTGTTATTCGATATATTACTAACTTATTTTATTTTTCTGAAAGAAATGCATAAATAAAAAAAACCGATGTTGATATAAGTTCAATTGATTCGAGTGTTGCATAGTATGATAATTCAATCTATAGACTATAATCAGGACTAAACATTTCGATATTATCCAAGTTTGAAGCATCACTATAACCTTTACAGTCTGTTATCTATTCGCTTCATCGACACCGTCTTAATTAGTGCATGTCACTAACAGAATTTTACTGAAGAAATCTTGCCTTAGAGAAAAAGAAATAAATTAACCAGCAATGACACTATTTGACATTTCTAAAACAAATGTTACTACCAGTAGAAATGCCAGAAAAACGTTTTCAATTAGCAGATATAAATCTTTGCCTTGTCCACTCCGTACATTTGAATTGGAAGGCTGACACACACAGACTTAATGCAAATATTGCCATCTCCAATTTAAACTGTATTTGTAGCAATTGATGAATTAAACAAAGATTATGTTTTCAACATGGCTACAATGAAATAACTCGACAACAATATGAAGAAGTCTTTACTAAATACATAATTTATTTTTTGAAATCAACGAATACTTGATACCATGAAACGATATAAAAAAAAGTTCTTTATCATTAGATGAATATTTTAATAAAATTAGTAAAACATTTCAATAATATTTTGTTGCCACTATCTTATAAACTATTGAATTATGTTGTCATTGCTATTATGAAAATAACTTTCTCTAATACAAAGCTGTAGTTATTCGTCTTAATAAAATATTGTTGAATAAAAATATGTCAATGAAACAGTACCAAATTTTACAATCAAGTATTCGACATTAATTAAAATCACTTACTAACCTGCAATGTAAAAGTAATTGCCGAAACCTCTACTAATGGTTCTCCGCTCAGAGACATCATAGAGAGTACATCTTTTTTCTAATTGAAAAGGCAAAGACTGAACTTCAAAAAACAAAGCTCTTGCAACTTCTATTCTCTTTGAACGGCTCTCTCGCGTCCAATCTATTTTTTTCTCTATAACAGATTATGTTTGAAGTTATCAAGTTATAGAAACTAGAGATGTTTTTTTTATCACTCTTTCAAACGGTGTATGATAAATCGTGTTTTGATTTACTTTACAATTGAAGATTTATAAGTCTTTCATTAATTTCAAAAAAAATATGTCATCTGATCTAAGCAATAGTTTATCAATACTGAATGAATTTTTCTTCCTTTTTCTAAAACAACGTGTAATTCTCTATAAATTTGAATTATTTGTCGATAATATTACTAATTCATGTATATGTTTTATAAGTCACTTTTAATAAAACTCCATCGATTACATGACTTTTTCCTTTCATATTCATTTTCTTCTAAAAAGTTTTGATCGAGTAGAAAAAAAAAGTAATTCGATTGGATAATAAAGGAATATTTCATGGTTATCATTGCGTTACGCTTCAAGGTTGCCTTCTTTTCTTCACTTGTATTTTCTTTTGCTTTTCTTTTTCTTCACATCAATTATTTATTCATATTCATATCATATATATAAAAACAGGTTATTATTTTTAAATATAGTAATAACACATAACATTTAAAGATACAATTAACAAATCAATGGACAAAGTTCTCAATAAAACAGTCAATGCTATAGCACGATTCGGTGAACGTCTTGAACGACGTCTTTCGAACAACGAAAGTGATGATTCAGATTTTCAGCCATTAAGATCATATTCTATGTTCCCAAGTGCTAGATCAGATTTTTATCGTCCATTAGATGGTAGAAATAATCATAAACATAAAGTATACTCATCAAAACAACGAAATTTAAGTTATGGTCATGCAAGAAATTATTCTTCGGATAATTTAGCTGCTAGTCATGGATATAGAAGTTTTCAGAATTACCGACAAAGTCCAATGATTGATTCATCTAGCGACGATTTAGATAGATCACCTTATGGAATTGGTATTGGCGGTCTACCAAATGATGGTTATCATTCAAATTATGGTGCCTATTCAGGAGGATATCCTAATCCATCATCAAATATGCCACATGGTTTCTATCCTGGCAATGTAGCCTATGCTCCTAATTATTATATTGCTGAACGACGACAAGTTGAATTAGTTCCTGCGCCACCACCACAAATTATTCGAGAACGGGTTCCAGTTCCTGTTCCAGTCGATCGTCCAGTACCTCAACCTTATCCAGTTGAAGTACCAAAATTTGTTCCAGTTGATCGTCCCGTTCCAGTTCCGGTTCCATCACCAGTACCTGTCGATCGGTTAGTTCCTGTTCCTGTACCAGTTCCTTCACCACCAGTTTGTGTTCCAGTTCCTGTTCCATATTATGTACCTGTTGGTGTTCCTGTTCCATCACCACGAGCAAGTCCTGTCATGTTTGAACAGTCAGTTACTCATACTCAACGTTGGACTACTGGTTCACCGATCATGATGAATCAACAACAGTATTATGTTAGTTCACCTGCTATTGGAATGAATCCCTATGTATCCTATGGCTATGGTTCATTCATTCGTTAATCATATTTTCGTTTTCTTTATAAAATATTGTAAGCTTTAAGTAAGTTTTTTCTTCTGGGAAAAATAAAATAATAGTTTGAGATAGTTACTAAATCTCTATGAAATCGATTGATAGATATCTAGATATACAAATATCAAATTATTTTGAACAACAATATCATCTATATTTGATTTATATACCGAACTGTTAGAATATCTAATTAGATAAAAATATATAAACTTATCCAGAAGATTACAAAGATATGAAAAACAAAATCTTCTCAATTTTATTTTAGATGCAATTTTATTCAAAATTTATTTTTTTTCAGTTATATTTTGAACAAAAATGCACAAATGATGGAACGAAAACAAAATTTATTTTTTTCTTCTTTTATTGTTAATCATATGATGAATTATGTACTTTTGCCTTTTGGTTTGATTTCTTTAACATTAAGACCAGGTGGCAATGATTGTTTAACTTTTTCAGCTTTTTCTTTATCAGGCACAATTACTAAAAAAAATATAAGGAACAAAATAAAAACCATGATAAATTAAAATTTGAAATGATCGATAGACATACATGTGTACAAATAACGACTACATCGAACTTTAAATTTGGTATTTCCTTGACGTGTACCACGTTCAGGATTACGTTTGATAATCACTGATTTAGCATCTTTTCGTCGAGCAATAAGTAAGAAATCTTTGATGTCTTTGATTTCCTTTGGCATTTTGATAATAAAAATATGAGATAAACGGAGATCTAAAATAGATGAAGAAATTTGTTGAGAAGTTTTCATATAAAAAAAAAATGACAAAAATAAATAAAAAACATGGATATGATATCCTTATTTTACCTAATAAAAAAATAATGTTTAAATCTTATGATTTATGTTAATAAATACAATATAATCTTCCAAATATATTCAAAAAATGGAATTTATTTAAAAAATTATTTTATTAAAAATAAAATCTAACAGAATTAAAGAAAAAAGATGTCACCAGTTCTATTAAAGTGGTAATCGTTAGACGATTGGTATGTAGAATTGATCAATGAATCATTCGACAAAGTCAATAATTTTGTGTGAAATTGCATTAGAAAAGCCTAGAGATTATTCGATTTCTTAATAGAAATATCGTAAAGGATGAAATCAATATAAGTCATTCTCAATTAATGTTTGAAATAAAATACAAAGCTTTTTATTCTTTTCAACATTTATTGGAATAGAATATTGAATATGTAATCCTGGATTTTAGTAAATTAATCTATAAAGCTTTTTCAAATCCTTCCAAGCATTTTCGATTACGTTCTCCTGCATAAGATTTTTCACCTATTGTTTGATAACATTGTCCAAGCTATTCAACGTTGACAGTGTATGTCTGTCTACTCAGTTTTTCATAAGTTCCTAAATCGAATAATTCATAAGAGCAACATCTCAAGTCCTAGATAAATACTCATGACGGGTTACAACTATCATATTCGATTCTTTCATCCAAACAATGATTTCTTTTTGTTTCTCATCAGTATAAAAGCATATAAAATCATGTTTAAGAAATAGTTCTATTAAATATTTGTTATATTGTCTACTAGTGATTGCTGAATTATATTCGATAAAATATAGCTAAACTTCAAAAGTAGACAAGAATTTTTCAAAAATGCGTTTGAACGTCTTGATCGCGGTACTCGTTTGATCATTTTCATGTTCATTCAGAAAACACCAAAACTAACTAGTTTCATGATAAAAGGTGCATGAAATTGTTTAAAAAGGCAATTTTAGTAACTGGAAAATATCCAAAAAGTTTTCTCACAATTCAAAATTTAATCGAAAACATGAAATTAAGAAATATTCATTATAGAACGATATATCTTTAGTAATAATTGTTTCATTAGACTGAAAATGTGTTCACGATAAATGTACAAATGACTTAACTATTTACATACCAATTGTACTTTCGATATAGAACAGAAGATAAGAATCTTTTTTCTTTTATATTTCTCCCACATTCAATCATCATTATAATTCTAATAATACGATTGTTCAAACAATCATCTATTGATATGCCCTTTCTTCAAAATTAAATATCTTTTGAACTACAGATATTAGTCTTGTCTTGTGTCCTTTTTATTTCTCACTATTGATCATAAAGAATATTTTACTCAGATCATATTCATTATTAATAATTGATAATTTTCTTTTTTTGTTTCTTGATTTGGTTTAGTTAAGTATAAAAAACCATAAGAGTTCATCTCGAATATCACCCTTATATATATATGTAGAAATTTGAGATCTTTTTGTTCACTATGATGACAACGCAGCATATCACTTTCTTTCCTATAGCGAAAAAAATCATTTCGTTTTTACTTATCGATTTTGTAAAATATGCAACCAACATATTTGTATACATCTGATTTTGATAGAGAAATTCGATGGCGTTCAAGATTTTCTACGGGAATACCAATTCTATTAGGAATTTTACAAATGTTATTAACATTTGCTATTATTGGTCTTGAAATAGTATCAGTTGTTATATCACCTATTCTTGGTACACTTTATGCTGGATTTTGGTCTTCAGTCATTTTTATGTTGTCATGGGTATCTATGCTTGGATTAGGTGATTACAAAAGTTTGATAGATATGTTTATATAATTAATTTTTTTCTTTTTGTTTGTTGATTAGTTTGCTGCCATCGTGCTCGTAAATGGGCATCATATATGTTTTTTATATCAATACTTTGTGCGGCTGCTGCTATAGCTCTAATTGTTTTGGATGCATTATTTATTGGAAATATCGATAAATGTTTTTTTTCAAATGTTATTTGTAATGAATTAATATTATCCTTTTCTCCAGTATTATTTAGTCAACCACTTGGAAGAAAAGTTCAAATTTTAAAAGTACAATTAGCATGTGCTGTATTGATGTTAGTAACAGCTATTTTATATATGTTAGTTTTTATTTCTGCAAGTATGTCTGTTCGACGCAGTACTAGTCGTATACTTATTGAACATCATCAATTACCAGTACAACTTGTTCGACAAACTGATAGATATTCACCAACGTCACAATCATGGAAAACACCTTCGGTACCTGTTACTTATCAGCCAAATCGAATAGAATGTCCTCATTGTGGAACATCGATTAAATTAACACAAAAGAAACGATATACTTAAATTAAGAATTGATTGAAATTCAAGCATCAAAATAAAATTAAAACAAAAACATTCTTTTTTTTTATAGTTGTATTATTCTTTAGGTTTTGTGTATAGGTCGAAAGCTTTGCTATTGTTTTTGAATAAAACTAAATAAAATGATTGACGAATTAGTATACTTTGCGATAAGCTAATATTGAAATAGGAAGAAAATGACAGATTGAAAGAAACCCAATTAAATTTATTAGAATGAATGAATTTTTACCTTTCATATTGATCATTTCAATTTATATCTAGATAGAGGCTATGTCAGTTTTTGAAATATTGCATACATTGTATGATAAAAGTTAGTTTTAATCAAAAAGATAATCATAGTTTTTAACTTTAATGATATTTGTCTTTTATTTTTACAATATTTGGCAATGTGTTATTAGAGACAAGATAAAGTTAAATTTTTTCTTAGAAGATTGTTTTATCGGATTTTCCATTCTTAAATTTCTATGAGATAATAATATGTTAATAGCTTTTTCTCTTTTCGAAGACAAAACTTCAAAGTTTCTTTTACACAAAGATAGTCAAATACACACATTCTTCCTAAGTCAACATGTAACTAAAAGTATTTCTATGGTATTTAAGCAACTTAATTCTTATAAATAATGTACGATAATACGTATGTTTATATTAATATGAATACTAAAGGATTTTTTTCAGTTATAAATGAGCCAAGTAGTTACATTGATGTGTCTTGTGACGCTGAAACTAAAAAAATAAATCCTTCTGTGTGTCAGTCTATGGCCGTATACATTTCTTTTTCTTGTTTTCTTCATTCATTCAAATGATGGAAAAATCCAACTATATTTGAGCTATTTTAGTAACATAGTAATCAGTTAACAAAAATGTTTTCATTATAATTTTTTGTTGAAGCATCTTGAAATGTTAATCGTTTTAGATTTAAACTGAAAGTATATTAATTTGACAAACATATGTAATTTTATAATGAAGCTTGAAGACATCGCAAGATCTTCTCTTGTTAGACTATTCAATTCATGTGAAGAGTTTCTTCCAGCTAGTCAAAGTTCTTTATTTGAAAAATGACTTCTCATAGCCACATTTTTGTATCAGTCATGATCATGAGTTCAGAGATAGTCTTTCAAATACAAATGCATAAAATATTGTTGAATTCTCAGTTGAATTCATACCGTCGGAAATGATCATCATCCATGATAATGATCTATTTCAACATTTGTGATAGATTCTTCACACAGAATTCATTGAGATTCTTGTGCACATAAAAACATAGTAGACAATATCAAAATCATCCCATCAACGATTAGAATGATACACTTAATGTAACACATAAAGAATAACACGCAAGAACTCATCTCAACTGGATTCGTGCACAGATCAAAGCTGTCCACATTGAAGCTCATACATCGCGAAAGCAGAGTGTCGTTGTGGTTATAGGTTAATAGAAGATGCATACATACACACACTTGTACCTGGCTTTTATACTGTTTTTAAACATTGTTCAGTTCTCAAACAACAAAAGAAAAATGTTGTCTTATTAATCATTTCTTTTTATTTAAAATACTCAATGATGGGGAGTTTTCGACCTTTTTCAGCCTAAGACCACGACTATTACCTTCTGTCTAACCATAAAGAAAGGAAACAATAATGATAAATTGAATAATATTGACCACTAAAAATGATGAATTGAACAAAAAGCACAACAAAAATATAATGTCATAATCTTAAATATAAAAAAACTTCATTTTTCTTTACGTGTTTGATATTTAACTTAATCCTAAGACATATAGGTGTGGTTGTATGTGGATGAGAAGAATATCAACACTGACAACTACAACTACTTGCACAAAAATTATTTAGTTCAACAAAAATAACCGTTCATGTTTCATTTACAAGTGATTTACGCTCTAGTCTAGACTTCTAAAGATCTGTGTTCAAATGACAAAAGTAAAATGGATACTTCTAACAGCGATAGAGGTCATCAGTTTGAGTAGAAAAAATGATATTTAAAATATTTAGATGATATTCAAGCTTAGTTGCGTCCTTCGTTGCACAATAGAGACCTTAATATTTAAATCCTGCCGCCGATGCTTAACTGGATACATTGATAATCGAGCATGGCAGTCTACTGTCGATCGAATCGCAAGCAATTTCTTAATAATCAAGTTTTATTAACACTCGGTACATGTAAATATTTCGATAAAATAAATATTTCTATAAATTAGTAAAAGTTAAGTTCAAGGCTTTATTTTGAAATATGCTTCGAGAGGAGGAATAATATCTCTCTTTCGGCTTATTCTTGAACCTAAATTAACAATTTGTCCTTCAAAATCAACATTGAATGCTTGTCGTACGACAGTATTTTCTGGTTCTCCAAGAATAATCATGAAATTTTGTTCCTTAATGATATCAATAACTGAAAAGAGAATACCGGTCAAATGGCTTTTCTTCTTTTCATTGAACATTTCTTTGAGTAATTCTTCTTTACGTTTAAATATATCATTCGGATAAAATGTGTACAACATACTTATACCCCAATATTGATCATTGAATAAAAAAATTTTATAGCCGTGAAGAAGAATTTGTTGTATTGAAAGATCACTCAAATCACTATTGGCTTCAAACATTTGATTAACATACGATTCTATATTGTCAATGTTAGCAATGGGTAAAAGATAATCAACAACTGAACGATCGTCATCTGTTGTAGTAGGTAATCTATAAAAAGATTTAAACGACTAGGTTTTTTCTTTTCATTTGGAAGGAAAAAACATTGAATCTATTTTACCGAAAGTGAAGTGTATCACTAATAATCGCACTAATGAGAAGTAATGCCGTTTTTTGATCGATATCCAATTGATTTTCAATATGTAATTTTGTTAGTATTGTTGCTGTAGATCCTACTGGTTCGAAGCGAATGAAGATAGGTTCTGATGTTGTCAAATCACCCAATTTTATGATGATCGATTACGTGTGTTACACGCATTTTTTTCAAATTTTTCATAGACTGTTCACCTAAGGTACCATGATCTTCAATCAATCTGAGATATTTAAAAATATTTCAACTCACTTTCATTATGATCTACTAAAGCAACTTCAGTATCATCAGGTAAATTATCGGGTAACATATCGGGTTGTTCGATACCGGCTGTTTTAAGTACAAATTTTGTCTCATTATCGAGATCGCTGAGACGATAAGCTTTAGCATTGACTTTACTACGACGTAGAAAGTCAGCAAAAACCAATGCAGTCACAATAGAATCTGTGTCTGGATTACGATGACCAAATACCATGATTTCTTTCTTATTATTCATCTTTTTTATCGATGAAGAATAGTGTCTGGTAAGTATGTTCGAAAGTAAGATTATGTTTGATTGATTAGCAGAAAAAGTTAGATTCAATAAAAAATGTATTAATAGTAAAATAGTTTCCCATTTGAAAGATAGCATTGCAAAGAAATATAAGAAAGAATAGATTGAGTAATTAATATAGGAACGTTTTTAGAACGGTTTACTAAATATAAATCGGTTGCAGTTGGCGATAGACAGATAGTGGTGATTATCTAGAAGTTGTATCTAAAAAAAACAAGAAATTCATTTTGTTAGGTATTATCCTGTCGATATTTGATTTCGACAAGAAATGTTTGATATTTAAAACCTGATGATAAATGATTCAACCTTGCGGACTAGTGAGTATTGAAATAATGAGAATGACCCAATTGAGTGTACGTTTTTAGATCAAAATGATTCACTTAATTATTGTTAGAATTTCGAAAAAGGAAATTACCCAGACATCTAACATTTTTCATAAATCGTAACAGTCATATAGATATGCAAAGAAATACGTTTCACAAATCTAGTAGGATGTTCGATGTGAGAATTGATGGTATCTCAGTCTGTATCTTTCTACAAGAATCTGAAAAAGAACACTCAGATAGGAATTTGTCAGCTTTTCTGCAAGAAAGTATGCTTTCCTATACCTATCTACGACGTTGTTTATCGGATAATAGAATTCCTTGGTATCCAACTGCAGAGTTTTCGTTGGTTTATTTTCTAATTCTAAATAGCATTTATGTCGATCACTCTATAGAAATCTAAGATGTCCTTACTTTAGTTCCATGATTTTTTTTTGTTATGAAAAAGTAAAATGACTGTGTGAGGACTAAAAGATTCTTTTCTTATATAACAATTGTGCAGAAAGAACGTGGAGAGATTAGGTGAAAAATGTCAATGCGAAAATATTGAATCATAAAAATGTCGATCTAAGTAAATATCGAACACACTCTTACTAACAAGTGTACTTCTTATGAATAACTAATATTTAAAGTTTTATCATGAATCATTTTGTTTTCTCCAATAGAGAAGAGAAAACTGCTAAAGATGTTTCTTATGAGGCACATACTCAGAAACTTACTGGAATTTGATATATCCGTAAACAGTACGAGAACAAAAGAGGACTCGATTGTGCATTCCAATAGTATTGGTTTTAGGATTCTATTTTTGTCATGCCGTTTTTCATCTTGTTTTCAATATTCTAAATTAGATGTTAGCTAGTGCAAAAACAAGAAGCACAGATATTTCAATTGTAGTTGAAAAGGGTGTGCGTCTTCTCTTGATTCATACCCATATTCACAATCTAAATAGTGCATTTTGCAGAGAAGTCTTCGGGTTAGAAAATCTGTACGCAAAGTTTTTCCTAAACATGCTTAGGTTTTTTAAACGCTTCCGTTTCTTCATTGTTAATGATACAAGTGAATACAAAAATAGACACAAAACATGTTCTTGCCAATGAATGAGAAGTTTGAAAATCAATTCTAAATAGTACAAATCTTTCTTGGAAATCATGAGATGATAGAAAAACAAACTGTTTCGTTCTGAGGCATGAGCCAACCACTGGAAAAAAACAATTTTGAAGAAGCAATTTTTTCTAGTCCGATTTTACTGACAGTTTTACTACAGGTATATTTTATAGCGTGAAGTTTATTTTGAAATTCTTGGACTTCTCCATCATAAGGTTAGACAGTTACTCACTAGTTATTTTTTAATTAATTAGCTAATTAGCTCATTAAGTATATTGAGTCATCGACAATGATAGAACGATGATATTCTTGTATTTTTATGTGGACACTCCAGTTCAATTAAGGACCGAGCATCGAAATATCATTGATCGAATCGTAAGTGTGCATTGGTCCAGATAAACGAGGCAGAGTAACAATCGATCTCATATTTCTACGCAAAAGAACGGATAATCTCGTCTTGGTTTCGGATTGAATTCGAAGTTGTTAGTTTGCCATGAGTTTACTATTTTTATCGTCAGTGCAACAATACCAATAGTGTGCGTGTGTGACCAATAGGCTCTACTATGTCCACTGAGAAACATCTGTCTGTTTCCGACATCACAAACGGGAACAACAATTCCTGCATTTTACTTGACATTATCTCTCATGAACTACAATTGTGAGATAGTGATAATGTTTTGTTTCATATTGGCGCATTCTGTTCAATTTACATCTTGAAATTCGAACCATCACAGACACGTATTTCATTCAGTTACTTGTTAACAATAACGGATGAATGCATATATCGAAACATCGCAGATATAGTCAATCCTCTAAGAGTTGGTCAGAAATAGTTAAGCAAAAACTCTATCCCGACAACTGAATGGATCAAGTTTTCGAATACAGAGAAGATTGAATACTACAAAACGTCACCATGGACCCAGAGTTTAGATCTCATTACAAATGATTATCAAGAATATAGATAATTTCAATATGGCTCTTAATCTACACGATCCTTTGTCAAATTTTTCTCCTATCGCTCTACATGCTGAATCAATACGTTCAAGTATTAATCAACAGAAAAGCAAACCTTTTTTGAAAAAAACTAAATAAGAGCAGGCACTTTTCTCCGTAAAACATCGTTATCATCTTTCTTCACAGGCATTGCAGCCAAAAACTGCATATTAATGGTTTCATTCAGCAGTTTCCATACGCTCAAACATTTTCATTAGTTAACTCTCTGTTAGAGGAATTCTATTGGGGAAAATCTATTAGATTTACACCATTCTTCTGGAAGAAATTTATTTTCTTCGATTTTTTCCGCTAGTTAAATTAATAGGTGTCAGGAAATAGCTTTGAGCGAAAAAGTCGCTCGTTTTTTTAAATTTTACATTACAGTTGTTGGGACCCATTTCTGAGAGACATCTCGAAGGAATCATGTGTGAAACAACAATCTTTTTCAACTCTTAGTTTGTTCATAAGTGGAGAAAGATAAGATTAGCACGATCCTCAAAGGAATTCTTTTTTCATTAAAATTGGATCCGAATATGGATTTTGTAGTTTGATGACCCTTTTACAAAATTTCAAGAAAAAACTCAGTCATATTGTAACTTTCCGAAAGCGCCATATTTTTAACAATAGATGTATTGGCCAAATTTCAATGAAAAAAAAAACAAATCTTTTAGAGATTGTGCCGATTCCATCGTTCTCTACTTATGGACAAAATATGGGCACAAAAAGATTGTCATTTCATCGATGACTCATTTGAACGGTACCTCTAAAATGAGCAGAATCATTATGATTTCAAATGAAAGACGAGCAACTTTTTCGTTCAACGCTGTTTTCTGAAGCTTATTAGTCTAAATAGCAGAACAATTGAAGAAAAAAAAAACTTCTCTCAAAAAAATGGTATCTTTCTCATAGATTAACCCTATTATTATTGTTGCATGAATGAGTAGATAAAGGCAGATCAATCTGGCGTTCTGAAAATAATTGATTGTTACATGTCAGATTGCTAGAAACATATAGGAATATTACTCCGTACGATGTTGCTTATTACTATAGATATTTATCAAATACAAGCATGAATTGACGTAGATCTGATTGGATCTGAATTAAGGAATGAATTAAATGGAAGCGACCGTCGCTAATCTCGTAAAAATGATTTTCATCGACATTGCTTGCCGATATTGGAAGATTATCATTGATCGTGATAATGATCTATTGAGTATATTAATCCGTTAGTTTTATCGACTCCATCACAGAACATGGCAGACAGCACTCTTACAGTCTGTTACCCTTTGTAGCCCAAACAGTTATACTAGTAATGAAGAATTATATATGATTCTGTATTACATCAACTTAATTCAGTTCCATATTTCAATCTTATAGACATCTCGAGAAAAGCTATTTCTTTTTTCGTCGGTTCTTGTATAATGTCGTATTTGAGGACTTAAGACAATATTAGATTTCATTTATTGAATCTAGAGAAATTTTTCAGATAATTGAAATTCTAGACATTAGCTGCGTAAAAACATTGAAATTCGAACTTTGTTCTATTTTCAGAAACTTTGAACATTAATCACATTAGAAGCTACACCTATAACAGAATCTCCTACTGAAAAATTTGAAGACTTAACAGTTTAGAAGTCGCGATGCTTCTATTATAGAACGAGAGTTGATCACATTTTGCTGCATTAAACTATGAATCACATAACAGTGAATACTTCATCATGATGAAAGGTAGAAAGATGTTATTAAATTTAACAATTGTCGAGCATAAATAGCACTATCGCTCACATTTTGTAAATAATTGAAGTGTATGGTAGCTTTTAAACATAATCGTTATTATGCATATTGGTGAATAAGAAGGACACAAAATGAATGGCAATATAATCTTAGTATATTATTAAGACAGGACGCATTTGTATACTATAAAATGTTCCAGCGAAACATTATGACTAGTTTCGTTGTGATTGACATCACGTCCTTTGAGATATTAACATAGAACCAGCTATTTAAATCACATTTGAATTATATTATGTGCATGTCGATTTTATCGGTAGCTGAACACTTTGAATAAAGCAAACAATCGTATATCGACTGCAGTATGTTACAAAGTTCTTAAAGCATGAAATGTATACCAATCAATAAGCCCGTATTGTTCAACTGAGAAACTGAAACATAGTCAAAACATACTTTTAATTTACAATGAACATCTGAACTAGACATATCAAAAACATTTCAATTGAAATCTTGACAGTTTTATGCTTAGTTGATGACACACTCTACTCTCTAGACTTTGAGTATTAATAACTTTTATTGATAATCGTACATATACTCAGTAAAAGTTTCACTACCAATTGTGCCAACACGTCAACATATTTGGTGAAAAAAGATTGATAGAGAGTGTTGTAATACAGACGTCATACTTCGACAATATGCCATAATTAGACTACGTATTAGTTAAAACGTGAAAAATGGTACAATAACACAGTACACATGTCAGTCAACTAT